CCAGGAAAGCCTCATTGGGCAGGTTTGAAATGGTTGTTAAGGTACATTGTTGGTACATTAAATCTGGGTCTAGTGTATGAAAAGAGATCTGAAAAGCTTACTCTAAAGGGGTTTGTAGACTCTGATTTTGCTGGTGACAAGGATAGCAGAAAGTCTACCACAGCGTACTTTTTTACACTAGGTGACAATTGTATAACATGGAAGTCACAGCTGCAGCCTTTAGTTACTTTGTCAAGTACTGAGGCAGAATATGTTGCCATAACTGAGGCGGCTAAAGAATGTACTTGGTTAAAAGGAATTTTAAAAGAATTGAACTTCATGCATGATACACCTATTATGTTTACTGATAATCAAAATGCTTTATTGCTTTGTAAAAATCCTGTTTACCATGAAAGAACTAAACATATTGAGGTAAAATATCATTTTATACGTGAGAAAATGTCTCAAGGTGAAGTTAATTTTGTTAAAATTCACACTGATAGGAATCCCTCTGATATGGGAACAAAAATTCTACCTGCAAGTAAATTTAGATTGTGCTTATCTTTATTACACATTGACACTGGTTAATTTTTCTTGCAGGTGGTGGGCGATGATGATGAACAGTTCTTCCATGTGCAAATTCGCAACCAAGAGAGAGTGTTAGGAGAACCAAGGTGAAGAATGTGAGGATATGGTTCACCTAACCCCACCCAATGTTGTGACTTGATGGGAGTGAGGTCCGCATGTGATGTTACTAATATTCAGATATGATGCTCCCTTCACTATGGAAATGCAATCATCGCCTACAGGTGACACAGTTATAACACCAACTGGAGTAATTTAATAAAAATGCAACCATTTTTTCCGGGTAGTCTTAAGTGCATATTGGACATTATAATAACAAAGTTGAATTACCAGTCGCAATACGGCAATGATCAATGGTAACATTTGTAGACCCCGAAATGTGGATGCCATCAGTGTACGGACTGTCTCCCGGATTATCTATCGTGATATCCGACACGTGAACTGATTTTAAATAATCCAAGATAACGTGCACGTGAGGATTGTCCTTAAAGGTAAGACCACTCAGAATAACATTGTTAGAGGATGATATCTGTAAAGCCTGTCATTTGAAGAATTTCAATCAGGGGTAAATTCTTTTGAACATAAATTATGAATATCGAAAGAGTTAATATGAGACTTACAGTTGGTGATGGTCTCAAGTCATGCTGCAAAAGATGGAAGTAGAATCTATGTTAGAAAGAGTTTCTAAAGCATTCTCAAAAGAGAACCTTTAAATATAGTTTTTGATGTGGCCAGAAGCGAGAAATAATGATGCATTTCAAGGAACATCAAGTTGGGTAAGAAAATTAGAAGCATGCTAGGTATACAGCATTCTCTATACTTTCTTTGACAGCCTCTCACGTTACTCGTGTGGATCCCGCTATTAAAATAATCATGGGGCCCATTCGTGTGAGTGGGCTATCAAAAAAGGAATATAGTAGATACTGTACACATAACATTAGGGTGGGGGAGTGGGGGGGGGGGGGGACTTGCATTTTTTATATTGTGCCACCATTTACTTCCACGACCATTGATTACACCTTTACCACAGATCAACAGGTTATCCACGTTTCTAAAACGAATCCAATTATTGCAAGCATTATTTTCGCATTTCTACTCCGATGGTTCGTTACTTGGTGCAACTATATTTCCATATATCTGCAAAATAAATTTACAACAAAATTAATAAAAGACGATCAAAGAAATATAGTTCAATATACCATTGAATCAGTACCTCAACATTAATAGTTTTGTTGTTGCAAGGGCCATCGAAGTTCAAAGGATTGATCAAGAACGTCTTCTTCGAAGGAATTTCCATAGTTGAAGAAAGGGATGATGATTTGCAAGTCGCATTCCATGCTTTTATGAAAGCCAAAATGCAAAAACAACATAATTCAAGTCGAAAATTATTTTTTCTCTAAATCACAGAAACATGATTTATAGTATCACCGATTGCCCCGTAATGTATAACGTTTTTGGTATTAGATCGTGACCAACAATGGAAAATTAACAAGTATGAATAACACAAACTTCTCCATTATGATATTCTTGCAAAGAACTGAAACGAGTTTACACAATAAAATTTGTCACACTCACTATGTTAGTATAAGAGAGAAATGTTCTAGTTTATTCTTGATAGGAAGATTGCGATTAAGAAAAGGAATTTGGGTGGGAGGAAAATTTCAAGAGGAAGAGAGTTCTACTTCTACCCAATGTTGAAACAAAATCCGGAACTCTTTGCTGATATCAGCCGCAGTGGCAATTTTATATCCTCCAATTAAATCATTGGGAAATTTTTTTTTTTTTTTTTTCCAGAAATTGTTAAAAACAGTTCTGTTCATCTAATCATCAAACTATATATCCTCAGGTGAGAGGTTTTAATATTAAGAGACTTCGAATGGACGCAGTACGCAACAAATTCAGTAATATAACATCGCATACCATGTTTGAAGTTAAAAAATAGTAAAAGAAAAATTGATACTTTAGAATAATGTTTATGAAGGATTCTAGTTAAAAATAGTATGTATAAAGTGTGATTTGTTATTTTGAAATAAGAGTTACTTTAATATGTTTTTAACTATGAATTTTCCTCAGTAATAACATAACTGTAAATTTTTCAGCAAAGAATAAAATCGGATTATAAAATCAAGAATTTTTTTTTTCATTAAAAGATAGAATTTTACATAGTACAACATTTAATGCAATTATTGGTATTTCAATAGCATTGAGACACAAAATTTCTCAAGAACAAACATCAAAATAAAATTTTCTCATTTTTCTGTAACCAGTTTATGGGGAAGGCTGATCAATCCACCATCCACGACCAAGTCATGTCCAGTAACAAATGCAGAATTCTCTGATGCAAGGAACAATACAGCATCTGCTATATGTTCAACTGTTAATGCAATTCCTTTCAATGCAGTAAAAGGCCCGAATACCATTTGAACTCCCTCGTTCGTCAAGCCCGTGTTCGCTGCCATTCCAGTCGCGATCGCAGACGGTGAAACACAGTTAACTCTAATCCCATGTACACCAAGTTGCTGGCTAGCTGCTCGGACCAGACCCAAAATAGCGTGCTTCGACATTACATAGTCGGTCAAATTCGTACCGCCCTTGCAATTGGTGGCAACCACACTAGCAGTGCAGACAATGGTTCCTTTGACACCCTTCTCCACCATAGCTCGTGCTGCGTGCTTTACGCATGCTGTCATACCTCGTACATTGATTCCGAACATGGTTTCATATTGAGAAAAATCAAAATTGAGTATTGTTTGTTCGGATTTACTAGGTATTCCAGCATTACTAAACATGATATCGAGTTGACCATATTTTTGGACAGTAAAATCAACCATGGCCTTCACTTGTTTTTCATCACTAACGTCGCAGTGCACGTAGCTACTGCGTTCCACGCCAATGGATTCAACCACGATTTGGCCTTTCTTGTCTTGCACATCGGCAATCACAACTGCTTGTACACCATGATCGGCGAAAAGACGTGCAGTGGCCTCCCCAATACCACTTGCACCACCAGTGACAATGGCAACTTTGCCTTGTAGCTTTTTCAAGGGCAAAGTAGATTCAGTGTGTGCCATTTCTTAATCACAAAATCAAAAATAAGTGGCCTGTGGTTTTCACTTTTCCTAAGGGTTGATAGTTCTGGGCTGCTTTAAGTTCTATTCCTGATTGTTTATAGGCTTTAGTTTCTACCTACTTTTAGTCCATTAGGGCGGCGGAGGAAGCTTCAACATCCAACTCGAAATTGTCGGGTGGGTGGCTTTGAATATATGGTGTGATTTGACTAAATAAAGTTGCTAAGCTTATAAGTTTCAACTCATTCTGAAGTCTGAAATTTCAATTCCAGTCTATTTGTTCGAGCATGTTATGAAACTACAGATGATTCATGTTTTTTTAAGCTTAGTTAACGTGATATCTTCATAATTTTTTTTTTTTTTTTAAATTAACATTCGGTCAAAGATATATTTTTATTTTATAAAAAAGGCCTCTCAAGGTCAAATAATGGATTTTCCATGTCTTTTGACCTGCTGTACAAAGATGACCGAAGTTAAGCAATCAAAGTTGACGGCGTTTTTATAATAAGAAATCGGCTAGACAGAAGCAAAGAAATTAATAAATTAGATAGAAATTATTAGGGTAATTAGCAAAAAACGTCCCTATCGTTTGTACTCATTGGGAAAATGGTTCCTATCGTTTTGAACTGGCTATTTAAACCCTCATTTCAAACATTTCTTGCAGAATTGGTCATTTCTGTCATATTCCGTTAAATCCATCCGTTAAATATGTGTAATTTGATGTAGAAGGTCCCTATTGTTTGCTATAATTACGCAAATAGTTTTTATCATTTCAATTTTGACATTTAGATATTCAGATCGACATTTCTTTGCTTAAATGATCATTGCGTCCATTTTTCCCTTTATAACATTATGAAATAACTAATTTATCATCATATTTAAATAACCAAATAGAAAATAGAAATAATATAAATAAATTGTATCTAAAATTTCTAATTTTTAAAAAAAAAAATACAAATGAGTCTTAGGGAAATAATTGAAATATTCTAATGGACAAAAACGTTTCATCTTCCCAATTAACCCACGTACCCTACGCCCATACCCCTACACTCCACCACCACCACAAAATTAATTAAAAAGATAATTAACAATATAATAAAAGTAAAAAAAATAATTAAAAATAGAAAAAAATTATAAAAACATAATGGTGTTTATTCCTCATCAAATATTTTTTTATACTTTTAATTCTCTTTTTAATTATTTTGGTGGTGAAGGATAGGCATACAAGTAGGGATATGAGGGTTATTTGGGAATATAAAATATTTTTTTATTAGAATGTTTTAAAAAAATTTATGTGAGATTCGTTTGTAATTTTAAAAAAATTAGAAACTCTAAATACAATTTTTTATTATTATTTTTTTCTATTTGTTTATTTAAAGATGATGATAAATTAATCATTTCATAATGTTATAATAGAAAAAATGGACGCGAGGACCTTTTAAGTAAAGAAATGTCGATTTGAATATCCAAACGCCAAAATTGAAATGGTAGTGACTATTTACGCAATTATAGCAAACAATAGGGACCTTTTACATCAAATTATACATATTTAACGGAAAGATTTAACGGAATATGATGGAAAGGACCAATTCTGCAAGAAAAGTTTGAAATGAGGGTGTAAATAACATGTTTAAAACGATAGGGACCATTTTCGCAATGAGTACAAACGATAAGGATGTTTTTTGCTAATTATCCAAATTATTAAGAGTATATATAAGGTATGCAAATGTTTGATTAGGGTAAAAAATTAAATTAAATTAAATCAAAGTCAATAACTAATGTTAATCATACATTTTAGAGTGAATTGTTCAAATGGTCACTAAACTTTGTGAAAAGTTTACAATGGATTATTGAACTTTAAAAATCACCTAAATGGTCACTGAATTTTAAAAATCACCTAAAAGGTTTTCAGTGACTTTTGGGAAACCTTTTGCAAAGTTCGGTTATCATTTAGGTGATTTTTAAAGTTCAGTGACCCGTAGAAACCTTTTGAAAAGTTCAGTGACCCCTTTAAAATATTTTACAAAGTTCAGTGACTATTTGGACAATTCACTCTACATTTTATGAAATTGACAACTTTTTATTTGCAAATTCCATTAATCTTTATTAAACTTTACTAAAAAATTGATTTTTATCTAAATCAAACAGGGACTATTTCTATTTTTATTCATCTTCTTAAGTTTATGATATTATTATTTTTGGTTATTATGGTCAAATTTTAAACTAGAAAGGGGAAAATTGTAGTAGCGATCCCTAACCTTTCACTTTTTTGCAGACTTTACCTTAAACTTCACTTTATATCACAAATAATCACAAACCTTTCAAAAATATGCATCTGAGGTCCGAATGGATGGTTTCCATCCATTTGACTGTTAGTTGACCAAATTTCAAAAGGGTAAAATGGTAATTTTGTTATTTATTCTCATTTATCCCCTATAATGATTAATTATCACAAAATAAAAATAAAATACAATAATAATATTTAAAAATACACCACCACAAATAAAAATAAAATAAAATTTTTATATTTAAAAATAAACCTACATCACCCACTCTCCTACTTCTTCCCCAATAAAGATAACAATTTGAACCGTTAAAATCGAAAATCGCGGTTAATCAAATCGAATGGGGTGAAAAAAATCGAACCGATGGTGCAATAGGATATATATGATATTTGATTTTAATGAACCGATTTGTGGCGGTGCGAGTATGGTATTTACGCTGTCGAACCGAAACCGAACTTATTATCGGATAAAAAAAATTGAATTCTTTACACTACTTTTCTATCCAACCCAAAACAAAATTTCCCCCATTACATCTATCTAGCTTAGCTGGTCAGCCCACTTACCATTAGCCCATAATAATAGCATTAGTATGACAGTATATAAATGCAAACCATACTCTCCACAAACCACAAGCTCACGCACGGCTCCATTGCCTCCATGGTCCAAGTCGTCATCGTCGCCTCCGAAAATTTGTTACATTTGTTAGCCATTCTATTATTGCTGATCATGTAAAAACAGAGTTCAATATTTTTCTAGACGAGCCAGTACTGCCAATGATGGATGATTTTAATTTGTTGACACGGTGAAAAGCGAATTCTATAAAATATCCGACTTTACAGAAGGTTGCAAGAGATTTATTAGCCATTCCAGTGTCTACTGTGGCATTCGAGTCGGCGTTTAGTACAAGTGGTAGATTTCTGAATCCATATAGAAATAGGCTTCACACGAAGACTCTAGAAGCTTTAATGTGTGCTCGGGATTGGCTTTGGACTGATATTCATGGTAGGATTTATTGTTTTATATTTGTTATTTATACACTTCCTTTTATTGTTATTTTTTTTATTGTGTGTAGAAAATTCTACTCCATCATACTTTAGAACTTGTGCAACGTTTAGCGAAAAGGAAGTTGACGAAGAGGTACTTTTTTTTTAATTTAAATCTTAGTTAAAACCATTTTAAGATAGATAGTATCATTGTATTATCTACTTACATTTCTTATTTACTATATAAAAATCAACTTTGAGTGTTGATCTATGCTAATAGACTTGTGGGGAAGAATGAATCAAGTATCTTTGATGCACAACAATCAAGAATGAAGGAAAAGTTTAGTATTGTTATATTTATAATATTGTTTGTTAAATTTGTATTTTGTAATTGGAAATTGGGATAATGTTTGCATTTTCATTTGGAATATTGTTTGATAATGTTTGCATTTTCATTTAGAATATTGTGTTTTTGTTTTCATTGACTTTTTTCATAAATTGTTTTATATCAATTTGACGGATGAACTTATAAAAAATAATTTATTTTCGTGATTATTAACCGAACCGAACAGTGTCGAATCGAGATAAGAACCGAACCGATTTACTTGGTTATGGTGTAGTTATGATATGGTAAAAAAATTGGTGGTGCGATTATGATTTTAGCCGAACCGACCCATAACCAAACCGTTGTCAACCCTATTCCCCAACCTAACCATACCGTTGTTAGCATCGTTGTCGCCACCACCCGCACAACGCTCATGCCTCCACACCCAGCACAACTCCCCACCCCCACACCCGATCCACCACCTGTCAACATCGACGATGGTATGTTATCTGCGACCACTGAAGAGGGTACAAATGAAAAATTAGTGCGGCAACGTGGCTAAGTGATTCAATTTCTGATTTTAATTTGGGTGATGTGGGATTTGATTTTTGTATATGATAAAGATGAATTTGATTTTTGGTTTCAGATTGATGGTGGTTCGTTTGGGCAATGATTTTTCTTCAACTGATTTTCGAGTGTGGGAATAAAATTTCTTGGTTTGATTTTCAAATGTGCAATGGATGGAAGGTAACAATGGTGAGAGGGAGTTGTAGCGACAATGTGGGTCGAAGACAGCGTTGGTGGTGATTTTTGGTAAGGTCGAGTCAGAGAAGAAGAGTTGCTCTGTTTTGACTTGGGGGTTGAATTGGGGCGAGTGGTGCGTGTATATAGTTATTTTTATTTTTATGGGTTTTTAGTTTAATATTTTTTAACAGGGATAAATGAGAATAAAAAAAAAAAATTACCATTTTACCCTCTTGAACCGTGGTCAAACTCAACTACTTTGGTTAACTAACAGTCAAATGGATGAAAACCATTCATTCAGATATCAGATGTATATTTTTGAAAGGTTTGAAATTGTAGGTGGTACAAAATGAAGGTTAGAGTAAAGTTTGCAAAAAAAAAGAAAAAGTGAAAGGTTTTGGAATTTTCCCACAAAAAAACGATGTTTTCCACGTAAAATTGATCATAGAGTTTGGTTGATAAAGACAAGGAAGACAACGGTCTATTTGGAACGCTAATTGTTTGACAAATTTTTTGATAAAAATTTTGATAGAAGTTGATGAATATGTGTTGAAAAGTTGATAAAAATTATGGATCTAAAAAATCTATGATTAAAATTAATTGTTAACTTTGTTCTTAAATTTTTAACAACTTTTTAATTTTTCCCAAACAAGCTCTAAACAAGGAAGAGGACTCCGTTTCACATGAGGTTCCAATAATTAACATCATCTAATTAATGTTTTTAAATATATATTGTCAAAATATTCTAG